GGTTACAGCCTGACTGGATACAGCGCGAGAGGTTACAGCCTGACTGGGTACAGCGCAAGAGGTTACAGCCTGACTGGGTATAGCGTGAGAGGTTACAGCCTGACTGGGTACAGTGTGAGAGGTTACAGCCTGACTGCATATAGCGTGAGAGGTTACAGCCTGACTGGGTACAGCGCGAGAGGTTACAACCTGACTGGGTACAGCGCAAGAGGGTACAGCCTGACTGGGTACAGTGTGAGAGTTGCTGTGAAGTGTAATTTTTGCATTTTGTCAATATTTTCCAAACTGGGAAATGTGTTTATTCTGTTGCAGAAGGTTTCTGACTGTGTCCTTTACTATTACTTATCGAAAAAGAGTGAAAACTATAAAGCCCTATTGAGACGGAACTATCGCCGAAGAGGAAGGAGTCAGGTGAGAAATTCCCCTTGTCTCACATACCACCCCACCAACGTCCGAATCCAACGCATCATTCTCCAACACTTCCGCCACCTGCAATCTAACCCCACTACCAAGGATATATTTCCCTCCCCACCCTTATCTGCTTTCCGGAGGCACAACTCTCTCCGTGACTCCCTTGTCCGCTCCACACTCCCCTCCAGCCCCACCACACCCGGCCCTTTTCCCTGCAACCGCAGGAAGTGCTACACCTGCCCCCATACCTCCTCCCTCACCCCCATCCCAGGCCACAAGAAGACTTTCCACATCAAACACATGTTCAGCTGCACATCTGCTAATGTGGTATACTGCATCCGCTGTTCCCGATGTGGACAAGCGGAGGCTTGGAGACCGCTTTGTAGAACACCTACACTCGGTTCGTGATAAACGACTGCACCTCCCAGTCGCGAACCACTTCAACCCCCCCTCTCACTCCTTGGATGACATGTCCATGCTGGGCCTCCTGCAGTGCCACAACGATGCCACCCGAAGGTTGCAGGAACAGCACCTCATATTCCGCTTGGGAACCCTACAGCCCAATGGTCTCAATGTGGACTTCACAAGCTTCAAAATCTCTCCTGCCCCTGACCTCATCCCAAGACCAGCACCCCTCTCTCGTCCCCGCCTCCTTGACCTGTCCGTCTTCTCTCCACCTATCTGCTCTTCTATCCACCTTCCATCATCGCCTCCCCCCCTCTATTTATTTCAGAACCCTTTTCCCCTCCCCCATTTCAGAAGTAGGGTCTAGGCCCGAAACGTCAGCCTTCCTGCTCCTCTGATGCTGCTTGGCCTCCTGTGTTCATCCAGCTGTACACCTTGTTATCTTAGACTCCAGCATCGGTAGTTCCTACTATCTCTGAGAAAGTGAACCCAGAGTCTGTGGAATCTGTATCTTTTGTTTTGCTCTTTATAAGAGGGTGTTCTGATTTGTTTAATCGAGACCCTGGGATGTTTTTGTGATTTTATTTTGGTCTCTGGGCTAAGGGAGTATCTCACAACGTGGTGCAGCACTGCCACCTTGTGGGTGTCTGAAGTATTGACCTTTGTGACAGGTCCTTTCTAATACTATGTCAGTATGTTTCTTTCTGTAGGTATAAATGCAGGGTAAGGTTAAACTTCCAAGAGTTTGTGAGAACGTGCACGAGTGCTAAAACCTCTGGCTTTGCACTGTTACTAATGATTCACATGTCCTGCTTGTGTGTTGTGACTGTTCAGCCTCAGCCTAATCTCTTTTGAACAGGGCTGTATGGTTTGTAGAGGGATCACTTGGTGATGGAGGGAGACAGGCATTAGCACCTTCCTGTGATTTCACTTCCCTGTGACAAGCTGGAGATGCAGTTCTTCATGTTGTTCTGCTTATTGTGGCCCAGTTGCTGGAGTCACATTGAGATGCCCCATCTTGTTGGAGTCTCACTTGTCTCTTAGCAGTGGTTGCCCAGATACTGCCCACTGACCAGTTGTTCATCCAGTACATTGCTCATTTGTCCTAATGACGTGATACAGGCAACAATGTCTTTTGGAAATTGTTGCCCCTAGAGAAGGTGATGATGAGCTGCCTTCATGAACTGCTTGTGGTCCACTGAATGTTTTGAGGAAGGAGTTGGATATAGTCCTTAGGGCTAAAGGGAGAAAGCAGGAACAGGGAACTGGATGATCAGCTGAGATCTTACTGAATAGTGGAGCAGGCTGGAGGGGCCAAATGGCCGACTCTCACTAGTTTCTATGTTTCTCACTTATTGCATTATCCCTGCTTGTTCTATAACCACGATCTATTAACCCGCCCTATTGTTTACCCCAAAATAACAGGCTGTAATTATGTACGTCCTGGCCTCGTCCGTCAGCTGGGTCCCATTATCTGCCTGTACTGATCGCAGCTCGTCCCCAAATAATCCTCTTATCTACAACTTCCACTCACGTGACAAAAACTCACAAGTTTTCTTTATTCATTCACGGGATGAGGGCATCGCTGGCCAGACAGCATTTATTGCCCATTCCTAATTGCCCAAGGATAGTCATTTGGAGTCACATGTAGGCCAGACCAGGTAAGGATGGCAGTTTCCTTCCCTAAAGGACATTAGTGAACCAGATGGGTTTTTCTGACA